TTACAAATGTTTTCCAGGAAAAAGGGTCTAAAGGAATTGGTTTTAATGCATTTGAACTTGGTTTGAGCTTGGAAGTTCAAATCTGGAAATTTCAGATTTTGAACTCACGCTCGAGCGGGGTTACTGGCGCTCGAGCGTGAAATTCGTGCTCCCAGTACTTTGCACTGTTTCGATGTCCGCTCAAGCGGAATAATTGACGCTCGAGCGGGACATTGTGTCTCATGCTTGAGCGGGTGTCGAGCGCCCAATCGAGCATGATTTTCACCTATCCAGTACTTTTGCACTATTTTGCAGAACGCTCGAGCGGGTAAGTCTACGCTCGAGCGGAAACCTTTGTCTGCATGTCCGCTCGAGCGGAGTAACCAACGCTCGAGTGTGACCCCTGTTTTCTGAAAATTCTAAAAATGCTTTTAAAGTGCATCTTTGCATCCTCATCTCGTCCTAGGCATTATTAGGCCTAGTTTAAGGCATCTTAATGAGGATATAGATGTAGAACCACATCGAGGCAAATTAGGGATTAAGTTATTATTTTCCCAACTGTGTAGCTTAGTGTGTGTTCAATCTGTAACTGTGTAGGGTTGGCGACTGGGGACGCGCTCTAGCTTTACTGTAGCCCAGAACTCTGTGAGTAACAACTGTGTAAAGATATGTTCAAAATGATTATCTTCTGAACAATCGAACTGTACTGCTTTCTGAACTGATACTGTTAATTGAATGAATGTATGTCCTATATTCTGAACTGTATTGTGGCATCCTTAGCAACTACTGTTTACTGTTACTGTTATAGAGATCTCTGTCGGTTCCCTTATTGGAACCACTACTGTTTACTGATTGATGGCCATCATTTATTGTTCGGTCTTTTAAGACCTACTGTTTACTGTATTGTTATGCTAATAGATGTACCACATATGACTGAATAACTGATATACTGAATTAACGAACTGTTTTCATTACTGTAAGGATATTCATTCTTAACCTCTTTACGCATTACGTTATTCACTGGGCTTTAGCTCACTGCTCATATATATATGTAGGTGTACAGGCACCAGACCGCGGCTAGAAGCGTCGAGGTTAAGCTCCAATTTTGTCAAGCCAACCACTGTGCCTCACTGCGAGGTTCCGAGCCTGTCAAGTTATGGCTTAGGGCTGTTTTAATTTCTCCGTCTGTCTCTGTATCTGTTTTGTATAACTGACAGACTGTTACCGTACTGTTTAATAGGGATTAGGTCCCTGAACTGAATGATTGTATATATGTACATACTGTTTTGTCACTGACTGCATATATGTATGAAAAAGTCTTTTGCATACAGACTATCACAGCTCATTGGACATTGTTTATTTACTGTTTTGGCTTCCGCCAGGCCCCTGTACTCTATTTTACTGTATTACTGTTAAGCAGGCCTTTGGTAATCTCGGATTACTGGCCGGTTACGGTGCTAAACCCATAGGGGCAGGTTTGGGTCGTGACAGAGGCCCATATACTGAGTGGTCTAGATTATCGATACGTGTTCCGCAATGGGTCCATAGAGGCCTAATAGGATGTTCCAATTGGGAAACCTAATTGAAGAGAAGCTAATTCCTAATAATTATCAGAAAAATGATTGATCAATCGAATTTGAGCTCGCCTGAATTGTCCGAATTAATAAGTCAGACAATCGAGGTCACTTTTATCAACTGCTGTTGTCATCCTTATCAACCACGACCGTTATCATTGTCTATCAGTGTGCCAATTGGCATCTGCCCGGATGATTGACATCTTACCGGGTGACCGGTCGAACGACTGTCATGTACAAATTTGGACGAATCCAAATTCGATGGACAAGGTTTTCTTGTCATTATTATAAGAGTAAGAAAATTATTTCATATCTAAGGTTTCAGAGGAAAGAAAATGAAGAATGACAGGAAGATGTGTGATTCATGAATTTTGATGGATGTGTGATTCATGAATTTTGATAGAAATATAAATAAAAGAAGAAGAAAAAAAAAGAAGGTAAAATGTTAGTAAAATATAGAAGTATGTCCAAAAAAAAATTCTATTCACTCAAGTAAACGAATTCAAATTATTATTTTTTTTTTGAAAAGTTATATAAAAAAAATTTAAAAGTCAAAATAAGCACCAAAAAAAATCATTATTTTATTTATATATTTTTTAATAATTATTTAATTTTTTGATGTCTTTAAAAGGCTGATTTTTTATAATAAAAAAAATTAAAAAGAAAATAACTTAAAGATGAAAATAAATCAAAAACAAAATCAAGCAAACCCCAACAAACATCCAATTAGCATAGGCAACGTGAGACAGGTAAAGTTGTTTTAAAAAGATGGTTAAAAGTTAATTTTTTAATTTTTTAATTTTTTTTAAATATGTAAAAAATATGAGAAGTAATATAACCTAAATTAATTTAAAAATTGATTTTTTTTTAATCAAATTTAAGTGAAATTTGATGAAAATTTTGAATAAAACATTGGATATGCTCTAATAAATTATTTAAATTTATTTTTATACTATCAAAATGATTTCTTTTTTTAACTATTTATTTTTATTAGTTAAATATAACTAATAAAAAAATGTACAATTTAACTTCTTTTTTTCTAATAAAAATCACCTCAAATCCGTATCATTGTCCATGATTAACCTTTTTTCCCAACCCATTTCTACCCCTCTATCTATTTTTTCTGTCCACCATTGTTACTTTTCTCTTAGGATGTAATTTTGGCCCGGCCCATCCGGGCTCGGGCCGGGCTAGACTCATGTTGGGCCTTACGGGCTCCCTCAAAAAAAATCGGGCCGGGCCGGGACACGAGCCAGAAAACTAGGCCCAGGCCCAGGGATATTCGGGCTTTAGGCCGGGCCTCGGGACGAGCCCCTGGGCTCGGGCTGTGGACGGGCCTAAACAGTTTTTAAATTTTTTTTTTTAATTTTTTGTACCAAAATTTTATTATTTTCCATTAAAAATAACATTGGGCATCGGGTGGACCAGGCAGGTAGGGCCTCAGGCCGGGCTTTTGGGCGGGCCTTGAGCGAGACCAATAGGCGGGGCCAAGCGGGCCGGGCTTCAAAATGATGGCCCAGGCCCAAGGCCTCAGGCTGGGCTTGGGCTTGGGTCTAAACGGGCCTTAACAAACTGGGCCCACATCGGGCTGCGGGCGGGCTTCGGACCGCCCGCGGGCCACGGGCCAAAATTACACCCCTACTCTTCTCATTTTTGCATCTTACTGACACCGTTCTCATTGATTTTTTAATGGGTAAATTACAAATACACCTCTTGAGATTTACTTAATTTATGAATTGCCTCCTGTAATATGAAAAATTACAAATACTTCTCCGTCATAATTTTTTATTTAACAGAATTAATTGAAAAAGTGTAATTTCTAACTGTTCACCTATACAATAATAAAATTATCTGAATTATTAATTGAAATAAAATTTTAACATTATTAAAAACATTAATTAACTTGATGATTTATTAATAAAATGATCTATTTGTTAAGAAATTAGAAACTTTAAGAGGTGGGATGTAATTTTTAAAATCTTAAGAAGAATTTATAATTTCATTAAACCTCAAGGGAGGTGGAGGTAATTTTTCCTTTTTTAATCCATAGCTAATCTAGCATCACTAATTAAAAAATAATAATAATTAAAATTATCTAAATTATTTATATTTTGCTAGCTAAAATTTATATAAAATTAAAATTTGGGATTCCCTTTCTATAAAATTTTAATGGTAAGCAAGTAAACTTCAAAATTCTTAAATTAAACCAAAATAATATAACCATAAATGATGCAACATTTTGGGAAATGAAGCAACATTTCCAAAGAAGAAGAAAGCATCCAAAAATTAAATTCTAATATTTATTGGCAGCCCAGTGCATCATTCTCTTTCACAAGAGTTCTGTCTGATGATTCCCGCGCACCCCAACTCTCTCTCTCTCACGCAAAAATCCCACTACCTTCAATATGTATTCAACCTTTCACATTTTGTTTTTTATTTCTGTTTCCATTCTATCACTCATCACTGACATATTGTTGTTGTGGGCGTCTTCTGTCATATCTGGTATCGAACTCACAGTAGTGCTCTCTTCAAACCGCAACCGCAACCGCAACAATGGCGAACCCAACGTCGAGCTTCAGTCTTCCAACAATGGCGACATCAACGATGATCAGTCTGGGTCGTTCGAGTTCCAATTTGCTTCTGACTTCTCACCGAGCTATATGACTTCGGCTGACGAGCTGTTTTTGAATGGTGAGATCCAGCCGATGTCACCACTATAAGCACAGCTCCAATGGCAAGAACACAAAGAGGCCTCTCATCATCATCATCCTGATCGCATTGTGGAGTTGGATACTCCGGCGATCGAGTCAGGCTCTGCTTCGAGGTCTTTATCGTCTGGAATGAAGAAGTGGATATTCAAGGTCTTCACTTGCTCATCATGTTCAAGGGACGAGAAGAAAGAAAAGAATTGCAAAACGCAAAAGCAAAAGCGAAAGCGAAGCAAAAAATCGATGGCCAGAAAACCAGCGAACGGCGTCGGAAAGCGTGCGAATAGAGCACAGGAGACGAAGAAGAAGACCTTATTGCCGGTAGGGCAAGCAGTGCTTGGATGTCTAGGGCTGTGCCCTTAATGAATTGTAATTTGAACTCTGTCCTCTGTCCAGAACTTTGAGCTTAACTTCATAACTTTTTTTTTTTTTTTTTTGAGCTTAGCTTTATCAGAACTTTGAACTCTGTCCTCTGAGTTGTAATTTAATTGATGATTTTGATTCTTTCAATATGAAGATATTATTAGGTTCTATCCTTGTGAGAATGTGATGTTTTGGTATGATGTTAAAAAATCGATCTTTTATGTTCTAATTTAAAAAAATTAAAAAAATTATGAAGTTAATTTTTTAAATTATCTCAGAGTCAAAGTGAGTTAAAGTTATGTAATATTTTATTATAAAATAAATTATTAAATTAAGTTTGTATAAGATTGCTATTTATCCAAAAAGTGTTTGACAGTAATAGACAAAGGTGATGAAGTTATTTTGTTTGATCCTTCATATGAAACATATGAAGCATGTATCAGTATGGATGGAGGCATTCCAGTAAGCTTCTTTACTTCACCTAGGGTTATCTCCCTGCATTATCCTTTTAACATAGATCTGGTCAATTTTTAATGCCAAAATTTTTCACTTCTGTATTAATATTTCAGAGATCCATACTTTTTGCTGGTACTAATAAAAAAATGATCAGGTATATGTGCACCTTTTTGGACTTTGGATTCTGACAAACTCATGAAATCCTTTACTACTAGAACAAAAGCTATAGTATTGAACAGGTGCAGAAATTTCTTTTATTTTATCTTTGAAACCAGGGATTCAAATGTAATGACTTGCAAAATTTTGATACATAAAGGCCAAAAAGTTACAATATGCACATTTATGAACATAATAGGGTTTCAAAAAGAACAATTCCAATTACAATTGATGCTTAGAAGTTGTCATCTTCAGTTGGCACTGTTGTCTTGACTCCAATGCCTTCATGATTAACTGATATCAGTGGCATGACATTATTTTCCTTGTGAGGTTTATACTAGGACCTACAAAATTTTGAGTTTGTGAACTAGGTGCTAATTTTGAGTGGACAGAAAAATGACAATTTAATTTTCTCTAGCACCGTAGTGCATAAAGTTTCAGATCAATGCCAGGTATTGTCTATAAACTTAATTTTCTCTATGCATCCATTACAAACTCAATGAAATTGATATTGAATTGCAATGTACGGAAGGCTTGGAGGACATAAATTACAATAAAAGATTTGTAGCAAATAAGTAGCCATCTTTTGTCCACCATTAGTAATTTTCTGCTATTGATGCCATTATCTCATAAAGTGTAGCACAACATTTAGTTTGGTCATATGGTTGGTTTATGTTGTGATTTGTGATGATAAATTTATTATCTCTTTTCTTTGTGTAATTGTATATTCAGTTCAGAGGGCATTAAGCTTCCAGGTTAAGTGGCTGAAATTTGTTTGGAATTCAATGGAAGTTTGCATTATCAAAATTATTGCGCACACTGCACAGACAGCTCCAATGATGCTTGAACCATTATGTGATGTTTTTCTAAATAATGTTAAGAATTGTTCAATTTTTTGTACTTATGATATCTTTCCCCTCCCAAACACATATTAATGTGCACTAATTGGGCGTTTTTTATTTTTTGTTTTTTTTATGATATCTTTATGAGTTAAAAATGTATTGATATATAATGGCACAGCCCTCATAATCCAACTAGAAAAGTATTCACCAAAGATGAGCTTGAGACAATTGCTGGAGCTTGCCACACCAGAGATTGCCTAGCTATAACTGACAAAGTATGAATATCAACACCATCTCTATTATACTTGTCGAGTATTATAGTTATTCCGCATGACGTGATAGTTATTTTCATGCTCCTTGCGGCTTTGTTGTATAACAGACTTAGATAATTTAGTTGTCTCATAACTTGTAAATGGAAAAAAATATGTCAAATTCATTGGATTTCTTAGATATGCACACACCATAACTACGAAATGAGGACACAAACGTGCTTTGAGTTTATATTCTCTGTTTTGAATTGTGTAACATAAGTCCTATATTGGGTCATCTGTAATAGTGAGTTCCAATCGTATCGAATGAGTGTGAATTTGGCTGAAGAATGAAAAAGAATTGTTGTTGAACATGGTTGGATCCTTCAATACCTACTTGGTGGTTAGATTATGATTTATGTTGCTAATGTTGGAGACATTTATTGTTTATGACTAGATGGAGTGCATATACACTACGTTGGAACATAGTTTGTGTTAAGGGAGAGAGATGGACACAGAGATGGTGGATGATACTTATTAGTAAATTAATGAGAATGAGACCTAGTTGAATACCATAAAGTATTCTCAGTTGCATAGTTTCAACTTTCAAGTACAAGAAGTAGAAACATGCATGGTTTGTCTGACCCTATGTGGTTGACTGAACAATAATGGGTTTCAGAAACAGCAAAAACATGATCAAGATGACCGTATGAAAGGTTTTGTTTAGCAGATCAAACGCCCCAATAGTCCTTCTTGTATGACAGTGGTTACTATCTAGTCACAATTGTATACACTGTTGAAGATTGAAATGGCAAGTTGAAGTGGTTTGAGAAGTATAACCTAACCTAATTAGAATAGATGACAAGAGCTACTGAAACAACTGGGCTGTCTATATATTTAACACATAAAGGGGGGAGGGTTTCAATAGAAGGGAAAGAATTTCCTTAAGCAAATTCATAAAAATGGGAAAATAAGTTCATCAAATTTGGGAAAGCGAAAGATCTTTGAGGACCAAGTTGTGACTGCAGGAGACTGAACCTTCATGAAAACTATTACTGTCAATATGGTGATTTCGTTTAGTCAATTTGTCATTTTTGTTCACAAATATGCATGAGAAGATGTTATGAGAATGACATGTTATATCCTAATGAAATATGAAAAGACAACAAATAAGTGAAAAAACAGTCAGAGTGCTAATCAATCAATTCATCTTCTTAGAACATCATGCATCTTCAGTGTGCTAATTTTTTTGATCAGCAAAAATAAACTTTATTGATGAAGAAAGCAAGAAACATACGAAAACTTACATCAATAAAGAAGGGAAGTGCAAATAACATCATAACTAACATTACCAATCCCAACTAGGTTGGCACTAATAAGGAAGCACAATTCTTTGCTAGCACTTAACCCAAGATTGGTGAGGAACCAATCCAAAGAGCCAAAAAGAAAGAAAGGAAAGAACAACAGGAAACCTCCACACAACTCCTAAAACAAAACAGATCATAGCAACCACCATTCAGGCTAGAGAAAAACTTCACCTAGTGCTACCCCATATGTGATACAAAACTTCACCTAGAATCACTCCATTCCTTACAGCAGCAGCTGGGATATGATAGTCGGGCTAATGCAAAACTAAAAAACTCCACTTCTCACAGCAACAAGCAGGAGGTGTCATTCAAACACCAGCATCACAATCCTAAACTCCACTGCTAAACAAGACTGTTGATAGAACACAGCAGCCACCAGCCATTCAGACAGAACACAGCAGCCACCATAAGCGATTCAGACACCAGAAGACAGCAGCCCTCCACCTGCAGATCACAGCAGCCATCCAACCCATACATCTCAAAAGCATAGCAGCACCTAACCCAGGTTCTCAAATGCATAACAGAAGGGGCATTAGCATTACCACTCCCTAGCCTCAGACCATACAACCACAACAAAGCAACATACCACCTGTAGGCCAAACAACTCCACCATCTACAGAATATAGCAGCCATCCACATATCAGCGGCATACACATTAGCAAACAGAGCACCACAACTGCAGACCAGATTCCAGTAACATATCCCAATGCTTGCCCCTCTACCCAAACAGAGCATCCCAAAGCCACCCAACTGCAGCCATCCACATATCAGCAGCATACACATTAGCAAACAGAGCATCCCAACTACAGACCAGATTCCAGCAACATATCCCAACTACAGACCAGGTTCCACTTAAGTCTAAGGACACCTCAAATTATCTGCCCAAACCATAGCAATCTCATACATCAGGAAACCCAACCAAGCCTCTGAGCCCAACACCAAAAGCTTCATCAAAGCATACATCAGCAATGCATATCAGAACACAGACCAGTAACTTGCAACCAAAACTAGATCCACCCAGCAAAATTCAACATCGCACCTCAGCTGCATTGCTTAATCTGATCCAGATTGTTAATTAATTCCATGGTAGAGTACATGAATCCCTTAGAGGAAGCTTTAACCCACATAGAAAATAAGCAGTGCATATCAGAACATCATGCATCTTCAGTGTGCTAATTCCATAATTAGACTGGAGACCTAAACATTAGTATTAATAGTGAAGTTTTCTTTACCGGTATTGGATTTTTCTCTAATGAGCAAAATCTACCATCCCCTAAACAACTTTCCACATGTAATGGCCTATTTTTAATGCTAATTACCAAGAAAAGTGAATGAATGTGGAAATTGCTGTTTTTTTCTTTCATTTGTTAACCAAAATCTACTGCTTGTTTCAATTGATCTTTTATGTTTTCTCGATGTTCTGCAGGTATACGAGCATATTACTTATGACAACAAGACACATATATCCTTGGCCTCACTTCCGGGAATGCAAAGGCAAACTATCATCACATTTTCCTTGTCCAAGACTTACAGTGTTACAGGCATACTTCAATAGCTTACCTACCAGAATTGTACTTTAAATGTGCTAATCTTGGAAGATTTCATGTTCTTTCGAAATTCTGTTGAAGTTCCTCTACCATTCGTGCATTATGTTCTATCTTAAGAAGCACGGATCCAAACACAGGTGTAGGCGCGCCCGCAGGGCCTCATGCTACAGTTCGGACTCGCGATTTGTGTCGCGGTTCTTAATCTGAACCAAAGAGTCCAAATCTGGCAAATCGTTTTGAGAAACAAATTTTTGAAAAAGTAGTGCCAAACATGGACTGCTTTGCCAGATACAGAGTCGCCACCTAAATATTTTTTTTATGGGAGAATTTAGGAAACCCTGACTCGGTGCCGAAGGCCACATGTCCGTCATCACCGGAGTTGTCTCGGCTCGGGAGCTTGGGTACGATCGGGGAAGGTCAGCTATGAGCACCCCCTTCAACTTGAACAAGTAATCATATTCATCTTCAGCTCTATACCCTGCCATCTCTCTCTCTCTCTCTCTCTCTCTCTCTCTCTCTTGCTATGGTTTAAGGGCTGTTTGGTTTGATTTTGGGCCTTGCTTGCTGGGGCTTGCCTCCAGTCGTGGACTGGAGGGTCCAGTCTGGCCCATTGGGTCCACTTTTGGGCTCATTTTTAATAATCTGAACAATTCATATTTTAGAATTTGTTGAATACATTATCTCTGTAAAAAATCACATAATTGAATAATGAATATTATGTATTCAGATCATTTTTTTACGAATCGTTAATTTTCTGACCGTTCATTTTTTTTCAGAAAAAAGTGATCGAATATAGTATCTGTTATCCGATCGACATGATTTTTTACAGAAATAATATACTAAACAAATTCTTAAATATTAATAGTTCGAATTATCAAAAAAAAGAGTACAAAAGTATATTTAATGAGCCAAATTGGATCAAATTGTTTCAAATCTTAACCGGAGACGATCCGGATCCTTTTCTGATTTTTTTTTTTTGTCTTTTATTTGATGATTTGATTTTGACTTCAATCTACAACGTCTACATCATCGCCCTCTCCATTTATTTCCTCCGACTACCACTCCTTCGCTGGCCAAACAAAACCAAAACACCAACCAGTGAGAAAATTGCCATAAATTTTAAATAGATTATTAAATTTTTTATGAAATCTCTCCTATAAATATAAAGCCTCGGGAAATGCGCCGCCATGCATAGGCTGCCTCTGTTTTCCTTCCTTCACTCCTCTGGAGGCTGTCAAAACCTCAGGACTGCGTCCCTGGGCACTGGGGAGTACCACCGGCTGAGTGAAATTACCACCGGCAGTGGTGTGTGGCCATCGGCACAAATTGAATCTGTCGGCAGAGAAATTGTTGCCGGTCGGCACCTTACGCTGCCGGTCGGCAGAGTGTTCCTGCAGAATCTGCAAATGACAGCAACAGAGGGCAAGACAAAGCATGGCAGCACAATTCAAGGCATATATGCACCAACCATGTCCCTTATCATGATAATGACTCAAAGGGGCATGTGCCTCGATTCTCGGACCACCAATCACGCATTTCCATGCATGATGGCCCAAAGAACCAAGTATGCAACTTTGATTTCAAATGCATGCAAACCAATCAAACAAACTAGGCCCAATTCCTATCACCAATTCAAGGAACAAGGCATGCATGCAAGATGCAATGCAACCTCGGCATACAAGCTAAGGATGCAACATGGCATGGCAACAAACTTATGCAATCATGCAAACAAACATGAAGCAGTGCTAACTAATGCTAAGGTGGTCTTAAACATGATTTGGGCAGCTCTAATAAGGCCCAAAACAGTGGCCAAAACGCTATAATATGAGGGACCAAATACATACACACATGCACATAATTGAGGGCCGACACTTAAGCACAAATTGAACAACCCTCAAGCACATTTGAAAGGGGGAATCATGGACTAATTAGCATGCAACATAAGCATTGAAATCATGCTAAAACATGGTGCCAAACCAAGCAATAAATCAAGCCTACCATGCAACAAATGGCCTAAGTGCTCAAAGCAAACCAATGGAGCGTTGGACTACACTTAGCAAGACCAAACATGGCATGAAATCATTGACCAAAAACAGAGTTTTGGGACATTAATACAAGGCCTAAGGACCACTTAGATGGCATCCAAATGACTCAAAACAAAGGCATGCATAATCACCAAAACATGGAGCATGAGATGACAACCTTACAAGGCATTAAAGGGACATCAAATGCGAGCTCTCAAGCATACAATAAGGTCTGAAATGGCATGGTGGATGGTCCCAAATCACCAAAACAATGCAAGGATGGCATGCTATACATTCACATACTTAAGGCCAACAAGCCGGAATGCAAAGGGGCTATACGATGCATGCCAAAATCAACCCAAACAACCTAGGACAGACCTAGAACATGGCAAAACATGCACAAAATCTTCACAAGACTAAGCCTAAAACATGCTCTAACAAAGGCTAACAACCTAAGACATGTTAAGGCATTACAAGGTAACTATGCTAAGCATGCATGGAGTACCAAACCAATTTAAAATCATGTTATATTATGGATATATAAGCATGAAAAACAGCCTAAATATGCTCAACACACACTCAAGCATAATGCTCTCTCAAGAGGCCAAAACACGCCCTTTTCAAGGACAACAAGGAGAGGGGGTGGCCCTCTCCTTCTTGGGACTTCAAGGCATCATCTTCACCACTGAAATCCCTCAAGATTTCAGTGGTGAAGAGACCCCAACACCAAAATCCCGGAGCTAGCACAAAAGGGCACAAAATGAGGCCTTTCAAGGCCTAAGAGGGGTCAACAACCCTCAAACCAAGAAACACTCTTAATAAATACATATCACTAAGAAGCAACAAAACTTTTTTGTATTATACTCATTGAAAGTCCTTCCCAGAGGTCGGGTAGGATTGGATGTTTGTGAGCCCATGTTGGTAAAGGGGTCGATAGTTTTGCTTGTGGTGATAACACTCACCTTTGATGGCCTCGCAGCTATACTACCCAGAGACTAGGTTCTCACCCTTGTAGACCTCTTCACAAATTGTGCTCCAATGGCCTCCTTTAGCTTGAATCCAACACCAAAACTTCAAAATCAGTCCCTTAGAACCTCAGTTCCAAGAGGAAGGTGAAACACTAGGTGTTTGTGTGCAATAGTAAGACACAAAACACCTAGAGCACAAAAGAGGGGGAAAGAGATATAGGAATTGTATCTAACTCAAACCCTAAAACCAGAGCTTAACAATGGCTGTTTTTGCTCTCAAAATATCTAAACTCTCTAACCTTTTCAAGCCAAGAGAGCCTCTCATCTCTATATGGCACTTCTTGTCTTGTAAAGCTTACAAGACAAGCTTCATAAGAGGGAGATCCCTCCATACACGTGTATGGAGGGGAGAAAAAGCAAGACAGCTGTCTTAAAATATCTGCAAAAGCAGATGCACAGTAATCGGCCGGCCAAAAATGCCATCTTGGCCAAAAGAAGTGCCGGCCGGCACTAAAAAGTGCTGACCGGCAACAAATAGTGCCGGCCGGCAATATACATTGCCGGTGGCAGCAAAAACCAGCCGGTGGCCTCTAGCCACTGCCGGTGGTGGGTGGGGATGGTCTACAAACCCTACCCTGCCTGTCAAAGGCAAAACACAAGTGTTTGGTGTGAAACCAGACACTAAACAGTCGAGTTCGGAGATCCTGAGGCAAGGCACGCGAGCCGAGGCCTCCGGGAACTCCAAACGAACACAAACATGGAAAATCACCGAGTGTTCTAAGCGGTGACGTCCAAGTCTTGAGGACGGTCAAAAATGGGGTGTCTACAACAGGACATGTTGATTCTCAAAAAATTAAAACATGGGCATGACAGGGACACAACAATTTTTTTTATTTACTGTGTATAAAAATATAAATTTAGGATACATAGATATGAGAGGTATCGTTATATATTTGGGTGTATTTTAATTTTTTTTTCCCTACTTATTCTTGCTTTATTTCCATATATTTTACTTTGATTCCAAATCAGCTTTGTGAAACTATAGAAAAAAAAAAACTACAAAAGTGTCCCGAGGTGTGTCCAAACACAGGACGCTTGTCTATGAAGTGTTCCCATTGTGTCTCCTACAAACAAATGATAATTAAAAAATTTGAGTGGACACGTGGACACACGCTCCCCATAGTGTCAGACATAGACACGGCACCCATCTTGGAGTGTCGATGCTTCTAAGGTTCTATCACTACTTAAATGACCAGTAAACGGTTTCTGTGTGTGCTCATGTTTTGATCTGCACTATGTTAACATGGATGTGTCTCTATCAGGTTGGAGAATTGGATGGGTGGTTGCTCCTGCTTGTATTACATCTGCAATTAGAAATATCCATACTAAATTAACGGACTCTGCTCCAGCACCTTTCCAAGAAGTTGCCTTGACTGCTATGAGAAGCCCTTTAGAATACTTTGAATCGTTGAGAAGGGTAGGATTTAGAAAGCACTAATTTGTCAATTTGATTGCATGCAATAGCTTACTCTGATAAAATTTGTGCTCATGATAATGCTAGTTGTTTTTGTAATGCGTATTTGCATTTGTGCTTAGGATTATGAATCAAGAAGAAGTTACACTATCAGGTTGCTTGTTGGGGTTGGCTTCCAGGTTCAATTTAAGCCTCAAGGTTCATTTTTTCTATTTGCAGAGCTTCTTGAGAATTGTGCGCTATCTGATGTACGTGTCTTCTTTACCTAGTCTATGCATATCAAGAATCCAATACATGTATATACTGGCTCTGTTTGGTAGAGCTGTGGGAAAGTACTTATAGCTTATGCCTTAACAGCTTATAGCTTGTAACTATGAACATAAGCTGATTTCTGACTTATAAATTAAGCTTCTCCTGCCCCACTCAAAGAATAAACTGATTTCTGACTTACAAAAACCTATAAGCTGCATTGTTAAGCTAAACCAAACACATCAAAATAGCTTAAATTAAGCTGAAAGCTGAAATAAGCTGTACCAAATAGGGCCACTATTGTATTTGCTTTTTTGAGATTGGATGAATGACAACCTATTGTGGTTATTTGTGGAGTTGGTTATGTTTTAGAAGTATTGTGTAATGCCCCAAAATTTGAGGACATCATGATAGGGTTTAAAACTTAAAATCAATTTTCTTAATTAAGAATCATCATCAATGTTGCCACCAAATTTACCATCATCCATTAATTAACAACACGGAAACTAAAAATTCTTAAATTACAACTCCAATCAAACTTAAACTTTGTCTTAGTACACAAATATAAAAAGAACTGAAAAAAAAAAACTAGAAAACTCAAAAAAAAAAAAGGTTCATGGAATCTTGGCACGCGTCAAGCTAACCAGGGTTGAATGTTGCCTTCCAACACCTCGATGTTTCCTTCGGTTTCTTCAGTACCTGGCATGAAACGCCAGGGCAATGGGAATGCCAATGAGCGACGAGCTCAATAAGATACTATAACCCGAAAATACCCACCCCGATAATAATACTCACAAATAATAAATATTGTGTAATAACAGAATAATAAGCAGCATTTAATAAGCATAATAGAAATGTCAACAGTTAAAATAATAACAATAGATAAATAAATAAATAAAAATGACAAACATAAGCAATATTTCATCATAAGGAAAATGCCCACTTTTCATTTTAAATTCTGATAGATTTAGTTTATCAGACAAGTTTAAGTAACTCCCCGCGGAGCATTATTTCCACTCAACCGCTAAGCAATGGTCACGGGCAATTCTGACTCCCCCTTGGTCAAATATTCAAATGTCACTTGCTGTAACTACCAATGATGCCCACACACCATAATTATGTACCCGAGTTGTGGCATCACGGTCTGCCCCAAGGGAACGGTCTATGTTGTGACGCCTGCACCACCAACCTTATATCGCCTACACCGATAAGAGCCGAAATACCTTCCCGTGCCATGTTAGGGTTCGCAACTCACTTGCGCAAGATTCTAAACCGGGCTCACCCCATCACTTGTAAACTTTAATGCATCTATTCAATTTCGTGTTTCGTTACTTCGTCAAATTCACATTTTGATGCATGTGCGAGTTTTAGTTTGAAAACCACAGTGTTATAATGTTTATATAGGGCAACACAATCATGTATGGCAACCAAAATAAATATGATAGAATGTCTTAGGAATTATCACAAAATTTCTTAGGAATTCCCACACTACTTTCTTCAGCACTGTATGTAAAAAAAATATGAAACCCATACCAAACGATGTTCAATCGTTACGATATTTCAACTGGTGCTAATTCATTGAGTTAGGAAAATATTCCGAGGAGAATACCAGAGCTGAAAACGATTTTCAAAGGGAGAAATAATTTTGGAAGAAAACTGGTTTTTCTGGGACAGTGAGTTATAGTACTTCTAGCATAGGTGATCTGTGTTGGAAAAATAAAAGCAGCCTCAAACGGTGTCAAAAGAAGGTATGGTTAGAACGGCATGTTAGATACTTGAGTTTAGAACATGTTTCCAGAAGGATTCGAAGACTGAAAATCGACGGAAGATGGTCAAATAATTTTTCTAAGAAAACTAGACAGATTCTGTCACATTTTGGAAAAAATTTGTGTTTCTCTCTCAATACTTAATAAAAAATTATGAAACCAGCGGCGTTTGAAAGGTAACTTAAAAATATAAATTTTCCAATTTGAACCACTTGAAAATTTATTCTGTGGAATAAATGGTGACCTGGTAAAGTCAGCATTGCTGCTGCGTCCAAACAGCAATGAAATAAAAAATATATTCAGGCCATGAAAACGTCAGCACAGGTGTTCTGTGTTCGAAAAATAAAAAAAGTCCTCAAATGGTGTCAAAAAGAGGCATGGTCAGAACGGTTTGCTAAATTTTTGAGTTTAGAACATATTTTCAGAAGAGTATGAAGACTGAAAACCAGTCGAAGGAGGTCAAATAATTTTTATAAGAAAACTGGACAGATTCTGTCACATTTTGGAAAATTTGGCGTTTCTTGTAAGAATATAGGATCTATATACTAGAAATCAAAACACTATGAATATAATTAACTACTAAAATATAAACTCAGATACATATCATTTGATTCCGTTATTGTCTTGAGTTTTGCTTCCTTGAAAGAATATGGCATTCACAATTGGAAAACCTTAGCACCAGCTCTTCCCCTCCTTCTCCTAATCTTTATGTTGTCTTTCAATGGGGCTGACAACCCTTTGATCTACATATATATAGATATATGTAAACCCTAATAAGGATAGGAAAGGGGACTGGGCCTAAATAAAACAATTACTGGGCCCTCCCATTAAGGAATCCAAATAACTTAAAACAGGCCTTACACCTCCATATCACATATCCACATATAAAATAATATATACACTAAGATGACCATGGCCCAAACTTTATGGATTATAATAATAATTTTGGGCTCATACCAGTCAATCTATCTGAATCACGTGCAACCCATTTTCACAAACCAAACAAAATATAGTCAATGACAGCCTAATTAAGAATAAATTCTTACATTTCTCTCTCAATACTTAATAAAAAATTATGAAACCAGTGGCGTTCGAAAGGTAACTTAAAAATCTAACTTTTCCAAGTAGTCGTGCAAAAAAATACCCTTTGTAGAGAAAATGAGACCTGTTTGAATCCACTGCTTCTGCTGTGTTGTAAGCGACGCTTAAGGAAAATATTTGTTTCGGTAAGAAAACGGTATCCAATGATTTTATAAAAATTTTACACAGTGCATAACACCTATATATGCTTCCAGTATACACAAATTTTTAAAATCAATTATTTTCAATTTATTAGAGCCCTCTTTTCATCCGATAAAGTCTGAAACAATGAGGAAGAATCTAAGTTTCAGGTAAAGAGAAGCCATTCTCATCTCATTTTACTCTTTTGCAAGATTATATCAACAATGGAGAATATTGAACACATAAACACAGTAGCTAAGCCATATATTTATATCAAGAAGGAATATGAAATTATAACATAATGAAACCATCATTCTATTCAAAATTTTAAGCATGCATGGTATTATTTTGCTATATATGACTTAACCATGCTTAGTTTTGTATATATATATTATATAATTTCAGTTAGAGGTATCAAAGGGAGGATAAAGGTGATGTATTCTTACCTTAGTGAAGTAAAAAAAAATCCCAAGTGTTGGGCTCTTCTTTCCTTCTCTTCTCTCCTTTCCCTCGTGCTTTCTCTCCCTCTCTTCTCTCTTTGTTTTGCTCTTACAAATGTGTGTAATAAGGCTGAATAGTGCTCCTAATATAGGAGTTTGGGGCCTAATTTGTTATTATTATTATTTTATTTTATTTATTTTTATACTTTACTTCTCCTTTTTGCTTAGGAACTCTCATCTAATGCTTAGATGGTAGCTTACAGATTATGCCTGCCGTGGCTGCCTTAAAAATAAGTATGCAAGCCAGGTAACCTAGATAAAAAGAAAAGGAAGTGGCAGTCAGCCACTTTCCTTGCAACTTGATCACTTTTTTTTTTTTTTTGAATTGGATTGAATTGAAATTGGTGTCAATACAATATTAATATGTATATATAATTTATTTATTTGTTTACTTATTTAATATTATTATTTTCAACTGGATGGTTTTCTTCCTACTAAATTCTAACTAACTTATTTACTATCAATTTAATCCATTTAGTATTCACAACTGTATTTTGATACAGAATTTTAATCACATCAAGATAAATAATTTTATTTAAAAGAATTTAATATTGATATTAATTATGGTGCTATTAATATTATAATTTAATGGTTTAATAATCACTATTGATTGGCTTAATATTATTATTAATAAACTAATTAGTTGTTACATATTGCCTCTAGGGCATGACAATAAGAACTATCAATCAAGATGACTTATTTGTTCAATATTCTCATCATCATACATTAGTTTATATAATACTAGTGGTCACCCGTGCGATGCACGAGATTTTAAAAAGTCAATAATCATTAAAAAGAATTTGTTATTTGATTGCATTTTTTAATATTTTATTTAATTTGTGTATGTAAATCTTATTTCACATCATTAAAAAATATTTAATATTTCACATTATTGAATTTTTTAAAAAACTATCATACATTAAGTAAATCATTACATATATAATAACTAATTTATCTAAGAATTACTTCAGACAATCAAAAATAGAGTAACAAAGGCATGTTGTAATTAATCAAAATGACTAATATATTAAATAAAAGTAACACTAATTTTGTTTAATCAATAGTAGATATTAAATTAATCATCCCATATAATATAATAAATTAAAATCAAATTAATTTTAATTCCCATTATATGGTTAAAATTTTTTTACATGCTATTTGTTTTTTGGTTATATTGATTCATTAAACACAAATAGGTTTGGAATGATTAAAAAGAAAAAAAATGTTTGGAAATGCATTAAACTTGAATTGATAAACATAAAGAATATAAATATTTAAATTATTCAAAAAAAAAATAAACATTTTAAATATGAGATATCTTCCATTTGCTCAAACTTTGAATCTAAATATAAAAAAAAATTTAAAAAGAAGAAGAAGAAATTTGTGGTTTAAATCTCAAAGGAAATGAGTTCCTAAAAATAAATTTAAGATTTTTAGGCACCGAAAAAGGATTAGAAATGGCTCAATGTTGATTGTTTTTCCCTAATTTTCTGTTCATGATTTCTTTTACAGAAACTTGCTTTTATATTGAAAATATTATGCTTAAACAAAAGATATATATGGAATTTTATCATGTTTACAATTTGTATGGATAATTAATTGATGATTTTAAAAAATAAAATATTAAATTCAACTTGAAGATAAAC